GACATGATAGGACATCATCTTGGTATGAGTGATGGTTACACTATGAGGTGACAGGAAGTCATCTATTATGAGTGGGTTAAAGGTGGAAACAAAGGCAACACAAATTATTGTTTCCTATACAAACTGTCAAGTTTAAAACAAGCTATCTGATGATTGTCTGAAATATATATTAACATAAGTGGTATATCCTGAATTTATCAGAAAAGTACTACATTTTAACAACACTAACTCAAAATATTACTGGTTAACAGTAAACACCTGATTTATATAATGATTATCCACAAACTGAAGTGTAGTTTCTATATCTGTACATAAGTTGGTATTCTTGCATACTAAGTGATGCTTCTTCATACAACAGGATGGAACTCTCGTATACATAATAATCTCCAGTTTTAGGGATTCTAGTATCAGTGTATGAGAGATGACTGTGAGGAAAATGGCAGATGGAATGAGGGTGGAGAGAGAGTGGGGTGTGTGTGTGGGGAAGGAGACTATACTATACACACAAGCACAATTTAAATCACAAGGATGAAAATCATACAGCCTGAATTTACCTGAAGACAGCTAATTTGTTGAGGTGCCTCAGGAGGGTGAGGAGGTATAGAGGAGGCAAGAGGAGTATCAGCCATACTTTTTGGCTGATTCTTGGAATGTACAGGTTGAGGTTCTTACACAAATATATCAGGTACCCACAGCAGAACCCTGTACAGTAACAAAGAACAGGTTTCAAGAAGATATCTCAAAATTTTACTCATTAGAAAAAAAAATGTCTGCACTTTTTCACACTACCAGAATGCATATTTGTTTCAATTATTGATTAAAAGTGATATACCTTTTCTTCATCGCTTATCAATACTTTTATTATGTATATCCCTTATTTTCATTAGTTTTAAACCTCTTATTCCAGAAATCCACAATCATAGCTTAGCAGGCAGACAAAGCAAGCTACATTTGTCACTTGTACAAATTGCACAGTTTAGGAGCGAGTCAGGTGTCAGCTATATACCAAATTCCTGTCTTGTCATTGGTCAATGATCCCCTCCTCATAGATTAGTTAGCCAATCAGGAAATTAAGATTTATTTGCAAGTAGGTATAAGAATCTAGTTGATCTTGTGGCATTGGAGATTCAATTTAGTTAAAATATTATGTAGCATTAGCTAAGTGATTTGTACAGACAGTACAGATAATCTGTACATATTTTTACATAAAGGTTTTAAGTTATATTTAGAGCTTTATTATGCCCTAAGTGTTTTGTTAATGATTTTTAAGCATAATGCATCAACCACTTTGTATATAGCCCATACTTTCTTTCTGAAAGCTAATCATATCAGGTGGAAGAACACTTTCTTTCCATTGCAATGATATCTAATAATGTATACTGTGGAGTAATATGTACATCATCCAAAAATCAATAGGATGTCTGTCCTTTGGTCACAGTTTAAGTCCAAAAATATGTTGGAGTAGGATGGTTAATATTTTGACAAAATGTTCTACTATGGAGAATACATATAATTTTTAAAAATCATGTAAAACTTTCAATAATAAAGAGAGAAAATAGTAAAAACTTTGAAATAAAATAATGATCTCTCTCCTTTTACAGAGACTATCCAATAAACAGCAACACTTAAATCCACAGAACTGCCTCTTTAATCTTACCAATCTGCGAAACTACAATGGCAATATCAACGAGACGCTTGCCACCGGGACCCAATGCATAGAGCCCCACATCACCATACGTGAGGTCTGTGGAGGGAGTGGGTGGGTGGCGCTCATCCTCGTCCTCATCATCTGAGGAGTCTGGAGGTAATAGCGGCACCTAAGGTCAAATAATGTGGTGTCGGTTTATTTGTGCAGCTCTAAGTCTTCCTAATTAATAGGTCCAAGATGCTTACCATAAATACTGAAGAAAAAAAATTAAACATATTAATATATATTGTAAGATAATAAAGAATAATACAGAGATTCAAATTCTGTAGAATTTTCTTTACAGTTCAGGGATTCTGTAAAATTTTCATGACAGTAATAGCTATTACATATTCTATGCATCTAAATTAATATTAATAATTATTAATCTAATGATTGGAAATGAACCTGCTATACCATCTCTCAACATCTACATTAATAAATACCCAATTCCTTTATTATTCATCTACATACATGATGTGCACATTTGCATACTAAATCAAGCTCATGAATGCAAAGAGATCTACTTGAGAATTTCCTTTCTTTAAGCAGAAATGTATGCAGTTCACCTAAAGCTACATCAAATAACCCACTGTTTTTCCAAGTGTTAGCCCAAGGCTGATGCACACACTATCAAATATGCCATTCATATTCACAGCATCCACTCCCTACCTTCTTCTCCATAATAATAGATCTGCCCCCTGCTCTGCCTCCTGAGGACAGTATGGCGTACTTGCAGTCAATCAGCATCAGCATGGCTGCAACACTCAGGTACCCAACAACTGCCATAATCAAGGCTCCTTCCATAATACCTGCCTAAAAGTGAAAATAAAATTAAATATATATAACATCGACAATAATATTTTAATATCAATAATAATAATAAAACATTAATAACAATAATAATAATAATAATAATAATAATAATAATAATAATGATAATGATAATAATAATAACAATAACAATAACAATAATAATAATAATAATAATAATAATAATAATAATAATAATAATAATAATAATAATAATAATAATAATAATAATAATAATAATGATAATAATAATAACATTATCACTAAGAATAATAACAGTATGAGTATCCTAATAGTAACTGTAATATCAATTGAAGTAATAATAATAATAATAATAATAATAATAATAATAATAATAATAAGAAGAAGAAGAAGAAGAAGAAGAAGAAGAAGAAGAAGAAGAAGAAGAAGAAGAAGAAGAAGAAGAAGAAGAAGAAGAAGAAGAAGAAGAAGAAGAAGAAGAATGATAATAATGATAATATTAAAATAATACTAATACTAATACTAATACTAATACTAATACTAATACTAATACTAATACTAATACTAATACTAATAATAATAACAATAATAATAATAATAATCATTATAATATTAACCCAGTGCCAACAGGCATGGCATTTACATATATGCCATGCACACTGTGAGTCTAATTAATTGGTTTTACACATAATAGCTACACTTTTACTGTCATCAATGAGCCAATTATAAGTACTATCTGTCTTGCCTGTTTATCCTTTTCCTTAATTTTTAAAAATATTTAATGTCATCTTATAGCGCTGTTACTAATGTAAATAACATTATGATAATTAAAATGTCTATAATAAAAATAATACCATTGATATTCATAACATAAGTAAAACTTAGTAACTTTTTCCCACAACTTCAAGCAAAGGTGAAATCAGGTAAGATCGGAAGGTCTACTAATTGACTCTTTTTGTGGCTATGCACTTGCAGAGCCATTTCACAAAAAATTCTAAAATGGGCATAGCATTTTCCCAGAGACATTAAGGTCATTATAATAATATTAATAATAATAATAATAATTATTATAATAATAATTATAATGATAATTATAATAATAATAATAATAATAAAACAACAATATGGAAAATAACAATAAAATCTATTATGATACCACCACTATTTATAACAATAATAATGATAATCACTAGTGAATTTTTGCTACATGCATGTGCATGTGCACGTAAATGTAAATGTAAATGTAAATGTAAATGTAAATGTAAATGTAAATGTAAATGTAAATGTAAATGTAAATGTAAATGTAAATGTAAATGTATATATAAGAACCAGTGTTATTTTTTTCTTGAACACCTAGGATGCCTAGCATCGCCACTGTCCTTGCTAGTCATTTAAACCTATTTGCAGCCTCACTCCCATCACTTAGGATGAATTTAGTTCCAATCAGAGTAAAGGGGCCAAGGCATTATTCTGCAATCAGTAGAGCAGAGGGAAGAGGTGGTATCATATACTGATATATAATGAGTATATATCCTTTAACTATATTTGAAATTTATGTGAACTTTTGCATTATCAAAATCCACAGAAGTATACCATAAATGCCTATAAATCAATCTTCACTCTGATCTAACTTTCTATTAATAATAAAAAATAAATATAATGCTGAAAATATGAATTGTCACCAATCTCTTTGATTCCTGTGGGCTTTCATTTGTTCACATTATCAAAAACAATAAATCAACCCAACTGGCATGTAATACATACATACCTTGCCCACTGTGATACAAATTTACTTATGCATTATTTCACTATCATAAAATAATAACAATTAAATAAACATAACATCAATAACAATAAAAACACAAACATTTGACCCGCCAATTCAAGGAATGGGGAAATCAGGATTGGTCACCAGGGCCTACTGATAGACTCCTTGCCAGCTGAGCACATAGAGCTATCTGTATGTATGTATGTATGTGTATAAAAAAAACACTACTGGGGACAGAACATAAATCCATGGCAGTTGGGCTAACTAAACAAAGATAATGACCCATGAAAATAGTAGCCATACCAGAGATGAAAAGTATAGTAAAAATAGTAACTAAGTTAAAACAACAGCAATAATATAAGAAATATTGACTATCTCTGACTAACTACAAACATTCATTCACCCTTGATTATTCAACAGGTGTACTCTAGCCCACCTGAGGACTGGGACCATACTTCCACACCTGCACAAATTCCACTCACTCCTCTAAACGTCAATTCCACACTTTCTCAATCTCCAATATTATTATATTTATTTCCAACATCATGTCAGGCTGTATATGAATTAGTATATGTATATGTATATGTATATGTATATGAATATGTATATGAATATGTATAAATACACATATATACATATACATAGATATACGTATATATACATAAGTATATATAAATATGTATATATGTATATATATATATATATATATATATATATATATATATATATATATATATATATATATATATATATATATAAATATATATATATATATATATATATATATATATACACACAAATATATTTATACATAGATATATATACTTGTATATATAGAAATATATACACTTATAAATCCATATATATGTACTTATTTAAACATATATATATACATAAATATATATAAGTATATAGCCATGTATGTATATATATGCTTTTATAAATACATGACTACATATCGATATACATACATGTGAATATGTATATATAAAATACATGTATTTGTGTATATGACTACATGTATTTGTGTATATAACTACATGTATATGCATATATATACATATGTATTTATGTATGTGTATATATACACATATACTATATACATATTTACACATATCTATACATATGTATACGTAATACATACATATATACATAGCATATATACTAAGAATATATATGTATATATATACACACATATGTCTGCATACATATATATGCATATATATACATATGTATACATATATATATACATATATCTACACATATACACATAGATATATGTATATATACATATATAATACATATGCATACATGCACATATATACATATGTATGTACAGATATATATATGTGTGTGTGTGTATATATATATATATATATATACACATCTACACATCTACACATATACATCTACATATATATATATATATATATATATATATATATATATATATATATATATATATATATATATATACACACATCTACAAATATACATATATACACACATCTACATATATATATATATATATATATATATATATATACACACATCTACATATATATATATATATATATATATATATATATATATATATATATATATATATATATATATATATATACACACATCTACATATATATATATATATATATATATATATATATATATATATATATATATATATATATATATGTAGATGTGTGCATATATATATATATATATATATATATATGTAGATGTGTGCATATATATATATATATATATATATGTAGATGTGTGCATATATATATATATATATATATATATATATGTAGATGTGTGTATATATATATATATATATATATATATATATATATATATATATATATATATATATATATATATATATATATATATGTAGATGTGTGTATATATATATATATATATATATATATATATATATATATATATATATATATATATATATATATATATATATATGTAGATGTGTATATATATATATATATATATATATATATATATATATATATATATATATATATATATATATATATATACACACATCTACATATATATATATATATATATATATATATATATATATATATATATATATATATATATATATACACACATCTACATATATATATATATATATATATATATATATATATATATATATATATATATATATACACACATCTACATATATATATATATATATATATATATATATATATATATATATATATATATATATATATATATACACACATCTACATATATATATATATATATATATATATATATATATATATATATATATATATATATATACACACATCTACATATATATATATATATATATATATATATGCACACATCTACATATATATATATATATATATATATATATGCACACATCTACATATATATATATATATATATATATATGCACACATCTACATATATATATATATATATATATATATATATATATATATATATATATATGCACACATCTACATATATATATATATATATATATATATATATATATATATGCACACATCTACATATATATATATATATATATATATATATATATGCACACATCTACATATATATATATATATATATATATATATATGCACACATCTACATATATATATATATATATATATATATATATATATATGTAGATGTGTGTATATATATATATATATGTAGATGTGTGTATATATATATATATATATATATATATATATATATATATATATATATATATATACACACATCTACATATATATATATATATACACACATCTACATATATATATATATATACACACATCTACATATATATATATATATATATATATATATATATATATATATATATATATATATACACATCTACATATATATATATATATATATATACACACATCTACATATATATATATATATACACACATCTACATATATATATATATATACACACACATCTACATATATATATATATATATACACACATCTACATATATATATATATATATATACACACATCTACATATATACATATAACTATATATACACACATACATATATATATATATATATATATATATATATATATATATATATATATATATATATATATATATATATATATATATATGTAGGTGTGTATATATATTATATATGTAGGTGTGTGTATATATATATATATGTAGGTGTGTGTATATA